GATAGGTGCATTTAGCTGTTCATTGGTTTAGATATATCTCATGTAACTGTTTCACTCCCTAAATAACTTTCCTGGCACAAATGTTCTGTATTATTGGTTTTAATTTAGCCTCATTGAAGACACCCTAAACCCACACAACTTTCTTATGATCTTTCTGCCTTTCAAATAGCAGACTAATCCTTTTATATACTTCGTAGAGCCCAAATCTTCTCCATTGCCTAAAAGGTTCTCATCTTCCATTATGGTCCATGTTTGTTGTTTAATCTTTGATTTCTTGATAAAATAACCAAACATTCATTTTTGAATGAAGCTTGATAATGACAGCCAAGATGAACATATGGATGGAAGCAAATCTTCTTATGAACTATGTTGGCTTTGAAGACCAACTTTCAAAGTATGTTGGCTCAGAGGGAGTTTTCTACCATCATTAACTAATGGGTGAGCTCCAGTCAGATTTACAGTAACAACAATGAGCCTAATTGACAGTTGCCTAATCCCGCCCCCACCTCTTGTCCTTGTTATGATCTTGCCATCTGTAAACACTCGCGACCTATGACCCTCAGGCTGTGAAAAGGCTTTGGGAGCTAAGACCCAAACACCAAAGCCAAGCAGCTATGGTTTCTGTAGGCACATGCATCTTGGGTGGGAGATGCATACAGAAGCTTGGAGTTTACAAACCATAGAACGTTTTATTTTGAGGATTTGTAACACTACTGGCAGTGCCGGAAAGTAATGTCACAAAATATTGTTGAATATTCATTATTTTGGAGTTAAATAAACAGTAGAAAGGTTAGTCCCTTTGAGTTTTGACCCTCATTGATCCTCATGTTATAACAATGCTGTCAATCAAACCATGTAACAGAAAGGTTTAGGGGTGGTTTTCTCTGGCTATGTTTCAGCAGCGCAACACGTAATCATTCTGGCAGCTCTTACAATCACCTTTGCCATGTTCCCTTACTAATACTGTGTGGAGGTGTTCCGAGGTGTGAGATCACAGATTACACGAGACTGCACTTGTAGCTCTGCCTGTAAGAGAAGGGATGAAAGAGCCGATGGGAGAGAAAGGATGGCATAATCATTCAGAACAAATCTGGTTCTTTTGGGGGAGTATTCATGAATTGTATTGCCACGACAACAGTGAAACACATTGTTGTAAATTATTAACAACTTCTAAACTGCCAGTATGCTTCAGTACTATCAGAGATGTTACTGCTCAGTCCTACTCAGAGACCTGGATAGGTTTCTTTCATTCCCTAAAATGGACCCATTACGCATAAAGCTCTTTCAACGTAAGCACACATTAAGTCATCACAGTGAAGGGGTTGCTGATCTGCTCCCTTTGCAACCTGACAAGTGTTAGGCTTATCTCAGAATAGGAAATTACGGCCTCAAATCCCAGCTCTGCATGTATGTACATCTCCTTAAATCAGCTTTACCCTTCTGTAAAACCCTGTGGTCATTAGGGACGGCACATTCTCACTCCGACTGCTTCCCTCACCTGCCTCAAATTAATAACAAATTGTAAGTTTGGCATTTCTACGCTTCAAAAGGGGCACATGGCCGCTGCCGAAGGACGATAGGGTTTTTAAAAAGCTGAGAGGGTAACCATGATGGTAATGTAATAAAGGTTGTCACATTTTGTGTAGAGCTTTGGTAAGAGATCATCAGCAGGGATGACCTCATGACTTGGCAAACATCACCGCCAAGCTTTGTGCCTCTTATCAATTTCGTCAAACTTTGTTGGCAACAACATAAGCTTCAGTAGCAACTTCAAAAGGCAATAATCTTCCGTAAGAATACAACTGTCTCATGAACATACGTCATTTACTAGCAGCTCAACACCTGTGGTCAAATGCACATTTGTTTACCATTACAAGTTGGGCTCCATTGGTTTGTTGTTGTAATGTAGTACCAGAGATATGCATATCCATTTTAAATCAGGGTCCAAAATCTTCTCTTGAATTCAGAATTAAAGTATGGGTCTATTTTCCCCAAGTTCGCCTCAATTTCCCACAAAAGGCCTCGATGTCTTCGAGGCGTGAAGATGGACGGTGTGGCGCAGTGCGCTGTGCAATGATCATCAGATCAAGGGGTGAAACCCGCCGCTGCTGCGTCTGTAAAGCCGGTGTGTCCTTGGGCAAGACACTTCACCTGAACTTGCTCCTGTGGGTATTGTCCACAGTATCTGACCATTGCATGTATCATATATGTGTAATGTGTGTATATGTAAAGCGCTTTGAGTCATTGATAAAGCGCTATAATAAATGTAAGGAATTATTATTATTAAAAGGTCCTATTTTTTATTATATTGAGGGAAGCCATCTTCATTTCAGAAGTTGTTAGAAATTGTTAAGCACTCTTTGCTCGCTAGGCACAAGATGGATGAATAAACTATCACCAGAAGAATGGCGATTGGCGATTATATAGCCAAGTGGTAAGGTAATCTTAGAAAATTAATAATGTTACCTGTTTGGCACTGAGCGTTGGTATTGGCCATTAACCATGACATGCAAAATCATTCAATAAGGACATTCTTCCTGGATATGCTAGGATAGTAGGAACTGCCACTCTGCAGTACAGAATAACTTGGGTAGCAGTTCTTTATAGTGAAAAAACACATACTTGCTCACCGCTCAGCACCCAAATCAACAAAAAAAGGAATGTCACACTCTTATTCAGTGCTGCAGCATGTTTTTAATCATGTTTTAATCAGAAACTATGCTTCAGAAAGACTAAAACCAGTGCTTGAGTTTTTTCACAAACTGCTGCAGAAAATGTCTGCAGTGAGTTCACAAAGTTCAGAGTGATAATTACCAAATGCCTGGAGCCAACACTTACAGAACTTAATACAATTAGCACAAGACCTTAATATAGACTGTATCTGTATGTCATGGCAGAGTCATGTACAGTCCAGTACACATTAAATAAATAGGTAGTTTAAAGTGTCTGAGCAAATCAGGTGCCATGTTGACGATTCTTAGCCGAATGGTAAAATATTTGGCCTGAAGTAAGGCACTAAATGGAAAATCCACCCTCATCTATAGAGTGTTTACTCCACTGATAGCTTTTTTATAACTTCCACCATCACTTTACACAATCTGTGAATACTTTGGTATTCATGATTTATATACCATTAGCATTACCCCTCAATTGTTCAACAAGACAGTGAGCGATGTCTAGTGTTGGGGTTGCAGAAACTTAAACCTTGGTATCTTTCAGGACCTTCACTTACCAAGAGGCTATAACTTACACCTAACTTAACACCTTTAGAGCTTTAGAGCAATGACATGTGGCTGGCATTACTGCATATTACTACGATGGTCTTTATGTAACGTAAAAGAAAGGCTAACTCAAGACTAGTAGCCTGTCGGTAAAGCCTGTTTTTGATACGATGGCTCAATTAATGTTGATTTTTTTTTCACAAAAAGTGACTTATTTATAGTTACGTAACCAACTTTAATGTTTAAAAGTGGATTTTTCCTTTAAAATAAGGATTCTTTGATAAAACCAGTCCTCCAAAGATAATGGTTTAAAATTGTGTGAACTGAACAGAAAAACGGTATTACTAAAATAAAGTTCATTCAATTCATTTTGAAAAACACAGTGGTATCTGTATTGCGTTGGACCCATCTAACACACAGCAACCCAGCTTAACTCCCAGCTGTGATTATGTGCGGTGGGTGACCTCTGAAGAATTTGATAATGACATATGTCAATCACATTGTCTAGTGTTTCTGTCTCACTGCACATTTGGAGATATGCCTCATTTGATTTCCAATTTCTCAATTTTTCTCAGTCGTTTGATATACCTTTTTACATTAATGTGACGTGGCTTTGCTCTTAGACTGTTGCAGTACGCCATTTTTATGATGGTTGTTTTTTGCTGCTTATGATGTTTCTCAAACCTCCTTTTTAGAAGCAGGATGTGTTCAGGATTGTTGGATATGGTTTGTTCTTGAACAACACCATTGCATTTTCAAGGTTTTCCTAACTCTAAATGCTGTGACTAATATCATAGATAATAAGAATGCCGTGATGATAACCATCACAACATTTTGACTAATTTTTGCATTTATTCTGAAACTCGCAGTGGGAGCCATTGTAGAAGGCCCTTTAGAACAATGCTTTGTTCAGTTTGAGTGAAATTATGCGAGGCAGCTTCAGGACTTTCTGAAACTAAAATATCACTTACCATTTACACACACATACATACACTTTTTACATATCCTCCTTCACATATTTTCCCAAATCCCCATGTGGTAAAGCTCCCTTTGAAATCTCTGTTCTCTGTCAATAATGTATCTGGATAAGTGAAGTGTAAAACATCTGATCAGATGACTATTGATCAGACTTCTAACCCTAACCCAGACCCTAACTATCACCCTTTCCCTCTCAAAGTCCCTGAACGCAAAAGTGAAAGACAGCATTACACAAAAAAATTTGAGCAAGGAAAAATCGAGCATCTTAATATTCTCTATGCTTGTTACTACTATCGACAGATCCCAAAACGATACCAAAACTAACAATTAGTCCATCTTACTCCAACTCCCTTACCTGATTGTGGTACTCAAGTTATGGTTAAAACGTCAACATGTTAGAAATACTTTTTCTCAAAGTAAACGAGGGACGCTTACATTTTATTACACAACATCTTGTATTTGGCTTATATCCTTGTTATGAAAATAATCGATGTTCTTCCAATGTAATCCATTTTAGAAGCGATAAACAGCAACCACTAATGCAAAGACCGCAGCAGCTGGTGAATATCTATTTTGAAGGACCACTGTATTATATAACCTGAATATATTATAATATTTCTCACCATTTAAATAAACCAACAACATATAAACTTATTTGTTAATAAAATATTTCCAGCTTTTAAGAAATATGTACTTTTTTATTAATAGGAAGAAGCAGAAACAGCTCATGATAACAGTCAAGTCAAATGTGTTGACCAGAGGTAGTCTGATGAAAAACAAACTCTGTTAGTCACTCAGATAAATTCTTATTTTTAATTTTTTCAAAACTCTCTCCCAGAGGAATGAACGGACTTGTTTTTTTACAGCAGTATAATGCAGTGTGAATGTACATACTTGGTCACAAATCTCAGATAAGTGTTTTGGTCACAGGATGCCTGACACCTCATTAAGGGGAAATTCTAGGAATGTGGACCCATATTTGTCTATGGGACAGGACCGTCACTTTTTAGGTTCATCCATAAAACATTTGTGGCAACGGCTGTGTGTGAGTTCCTGTGTCCTATCTCTCTGCTCTGCAGCCACACGGGTCAAGGCACATGTAAAGTCCTACTGTCGAGCACCTTTGCAGCCCAGCTCTGTAATAAAGTCTCAAAATGAGTTCATAGCTTGTTTCATTCCTTTTTCATAGACATTCTCTTCCTTTTTTAAGAAGATTTCTTTCAATAAATAACACAAATATATTCATACGTCATATATAGATAGATAAACATGTATAAACTACATGCATTTCATATAATTTAAATAATTTATATGTACAGTTCCCCGTCACACACTCCCTCCCCCCCCCCAGCCCCTCTCAAACGAGTTCTTCTGCGGCGGCAATTGCACCGTGGTGGATTTGCAGCACATTGATGTGAATTTTAAGTGGACCCAAGGTTTCTTCAGTAGAAGTTTCTTTAGCAAAGTGTCCTTACAACATGATTCATAATCCCGTGGTGAACTGTGACAGGAAATAAAAAATCCTATGCAGGAAGTAGAATTTCAAACAGGCTGTCACCAGCAAGGCTTGAATTGTTTTGATTACGTCCTATGTCTCGGACGTTTCCTCGACAACGCGCAGACGCAGGAAGTGTCTATGCGTATCCACCTCCAGCCAACTAAATTGCGAACTTGCGTCAGCGCGCGGACATAAGTCTGCGTCGTCTTGCACTGCGAGTTCCAGTTCTTATCATCGATGCCCCTGCAGCCCCCTTTGAAGGGCCTTGGGTTCCGACAGCGCGTCTCAAAAAAGTATTGTTTGATGTTCTGCGTGGCGCTGGTTTTAATTTTGGCCAGTACAGTGACAGCTTGCCCTTCGGTGTCCACTGCATTGGTTTTATCTGTCACCCACTGGCTCTCGCTGTCGCACACAGAATATTCCCCACGGTAGCTCTTGTGCTCAGCATAACGCTTCTTCCGTGTCTTGTTCCCCGCCGCCCCTCCGTCCAACCCACCGCTCACGTAATCGTCCGAGGGGTACAGCGGCGGGGGCTGAAGGGGGGGCCGGTCGCTCAGTAGCACTCGAGGTGAGTTGTATCGCTTGTGTTGCCTGAGAAGGTTTGAGTTCAACACCACGTCGTCACTGCTCCCCCCGCTGCGACCCCCCCAACGCTCCACATCGCCCTGCTCCTCTGAGGGAAAGTTTGCAGAGAGGTGAGGCGACAGCGAGTCCCTGCTCCCCCCCTGTTGGCTCTCGTTCCCCCTGGTCCTCCCCCTCGTCAGGTCGGCCTGTAGCAGCTGGATGATGAGGGAGTTCAACGGGTCGGGATTCGGCTGCTGCTCCTGATGTTGCCCCTGGCGGCTGCTGTCCATGTGCGTCGCCTGGATACCATAGAGGTACATGAGGACCATGACATACAGCAGGATGGACATCACTAGATTTACCTGCAAGATCTGCAAAAGACAGAAGGATAGAAACTTGTAAGAGATGTGCAATGTAGAGGTGAGGCAAAGATACTTAAGTAGGTAGAAAGAGCCAATACATGCAACAACAGGAAGTTAATTGTTGTAGTTTAACCTGTTCCTTTGTCCCACTTATTTACAATTAGCATAGACTGTGAGAGATTCATTGCGACTGACACTTCCCGTTACAGTTTTGTCCAATGTTTTTTAGCAAATTTAAATAGTTAATTACGCATGTTTTTATGGGAGCCTTTGGCTTGAACTCATTTACCATAATATAAATGTGGTAAATGTGTCTTGTACAGTATGCACACAGTAATTGGAAGTGACGTGCTGCTACATGCATAACCTACCATGTGGTGATTTGACACATATAATCGTATTACATGGAAATGCTTGGCACAAAATGTAACACACCTGCGCATACGCACACACACATTGCCAAATGCCCAATCCCTGAAAAAGGATTAGTTCTTAGAGAGAACTTATTATTGATGCAACAAAAAAAATACTAGAAAGTAAAATTGTTTTATTTCATGTGTATTAATGGATCAATGGATCAATAGTTAGATATTAGATAGATGGATATTCACTGATGTGTACTTTTCCAAAATGATCAGAAACACTTCCATCTTTAGTAGTTTTGGAAACCTTAGTCAAAGATTGCATCACACCCCAACAGTGCCTTGGCTCTTGTCTTGCTTCCTCCAGTCAAAACCAAAATTAAAACAAGCCTCACCTGAAGCAGCTTTTACTACCACAGTATAGTACCTTTGTGGGGGAAACTTCTGAAGCAATAGACTGTCTCTCTGAGTCAGGACTCAGAGAGACACGAGGAGAACTGGAGCTTTGATGGCAAACACTGACGGTTTATTTGGAGCTTCGGCCAGAGAATTCACAAGACATGTCAAAGGGCCACGAGTTGATCACACGGTGCAGGTGCCTGCTCAGTCAGGACAGTATGAACTGATAAACTGGGTCAAAGTTATGGGTCTTGGAAAATATTTCCCCAACAACCTTCACATCTTATTTGGGCGTCAGTCATCGAATCAAGCCTGAAATGCTTTTTCAGTCTTTCTAACAGACTATCAGTCATTCATTACAGTTTAAAAACCTGTGTGTTGATCAGTGGGGGAACTGCATCACAGTAACATAATGCTTGTGCCACAAACCTGAAACCCATAGAACAACTGTACAAGAGAGCTATCAAGGTTTTTGACAGAAAACCAAATTCACACCACCACAACATTTCTTGAATTTTGACAATTTACGTCTTTTAAAAGTGTGTGTTTTTTTAATATGGACTGCATCCCCCCCCCCCCCTTATGGGAATTCATCCACAAAAAGACACTGGACGCTGCACTAGGTCAGAAACCAGAGGAGACTGTGAGGTCAACTTTTGGACAAAATGTCCTCTCCATTAAAGGCAGCTCATTTTGGAATAGCCTCCCAACTGAGATACAGGATTGTCCCACTCTCAATAGTTTTAAAGGACAACTTAAAGAATGGTTGAGCAGCAAACAGACGTGTAATCACCACTAAATGCACTTTATGTAGCACTTTTATCTTATCTTGCACTTTATAGCTGCTACATTGCACTGCCATGTGGTAAATGCTTGTGTGCTGCTCATGCTCTTTTAGCTCAAAGCTCAAATCCGGCTCATTTACACTTCTAAGCATTATTTTGTTTTAAAGTGTTCATCAATGTGCACTGTCCCGATTCAAATAAACGATTAAATGAAATGAAAATGAAATGTCAGAAAGCCAATGTTTATGTTCGTTGGTGCAGACGTTTCAGCCCCATGCTTGTTTCCAGACAGTAAGGTCAAGATGTGTTGCTGGTTTTAATCTCTTGGAAGATACAAGCTCTCAGATAAGATGTGTTTGTCTTCCTTTGTATTTTCTTTACCAAAGCTGACTGGCGTCTTTCATAATTTGAACATTTTAGCAAGAACATCTTGTACTGTTGGCCATTGTACAGTTTGACAGGTAGCTCAACGGTCGACAGCCTGGAGATGTAATGTACCTTTGAATTAACCTAACCCTAACCTGCAATATCTGATGACTCAGCCGAAGAAAAATGTGAACACAACACCAACACATATTCAAATGTCATATTGAAAAGCCATTCAGGGGAAAAAGAAAGCCATCCAGCAGTCATGTTCTGTTCAATATTATCCCTTTACTGTCGCTCTGTTTTGGTCTCAACCAACTCCAGAGGAACGTTTTTGTCAGTTTAGCGGCTTTGTTCACCAGGGGAGATGCTAACTGTGTGTGTGCTGTTTAGTGCTGGGTAGTTAGGATACAGTAGGTTTATCGGGATTTTATAATAATCTAACACTGACCATCATTTCAGAAATGGTTTACTCTGAACCTGGCACGATTGTAACCTGGTAATACCATTTTGTTTCAAACATGCTTTTGGACGTAGTATTTTATTGTCTGACCATCATTACATTCAGTTTTACTAACCAACTGTTCTTGAGCCTTGCCAGATACACAGTTCTTTAAGCCATGCCTTGAGAAATCATTGTCCTTTAACTGGTAGCTTTGTTAAATTCTCTTTAGCATTTACATTGCAAAGACGCATCATCCCCCATTAGAAATGTTCTCCTCAGTTACCTTTTGCTATAGAAAAAAAATCTTTCTCTGACTCATACAGTAAATATAATTCAACCCTGCAGGTTTCTCCTCAACTCGAGCAAAGCTAAGCCAAAATGACTTCAAATTATTTCTTAATCATTATTACCACGAAAAGAACAGTAGCTCCTCTGTTTCTCACAGCAAAGGCCATGTGAGGCTCTTGTTAGAAATGAAGGTTATAGTTAACCCTGAACTATAAAAAGCAGGCTGTGCTCTGCAGCATCATATGCTAGGAATCTACATGTATCAAAACGGAGAAAAATATGTAGTCATACTCCATTTCTCCCCCTGGTCACAACGACAAAACACTAAACAATTCATATTATATTCATTTTAGTCTAGCAATCGTTGAGAATAACTAGCAGATGCCCCAGCTTATAAACATCAGTGTTCCCTTTAGAAAAACTGTATGCAAAGTCAAAGACAAAATGAGATAACAAAATACTTTTCTCCTGTGTCAGCCAGTGTAATGATAGTATTTACACAGATAAGCAGATGGTGATAACAGATTTGCTTTTGGGAAATTTTTGTTTATGTCGCAATGCAGTGCACATGCATGTTCAATAAACCTTTCAATGACAGGTGGAGGTTAAAATGTATTTCCGAGGGAGGAGGAGGTAAAACAAAAAGAAACATAATCGACAAACAGATGGCTGCGAACAAAAATAGTTGGTTAGTGACAGTGGGACTTCTGTTCAGCAGCAATGTCATCTTGTAATGGATCTGAAAACACACACACATAGACACATTTGTGCTGTCAAGGACCCTAATGGACATATTAACAAATAATTTACCCTGAAAGCAATTCTTAATCCAGCAAGCAAGCTCTTCTTCTGATTTATACCTCAGATAAAAATTAACATAGACGTAAAACACTGTTCGATGGTCATTGCGGTTCAACGTCAAGAAAGCAGCTCTCTCTTTTTGATCCAGTTCCTCTTTGTATTTTAGCTGTTATATGAGAGTTATGGTCTGAAAAAAGCATGCTTCAGTATATATGGACAGAACTTCTTTCACCTATGGTCGACTGTGGTTACTGGGTTGCTTTATGTTTGATTTTGGTGACACCCTGAAGACAAGCAGACGTGATTAGCCCTTCATGGCTTTTTGACTGTGTGACATGTCACATAAGCAACATATTGTGACACTGACAACTTCCCAAATCAGGTGCCTGGCCGGTAGCAAATAGCTGTGTATGAAATCTCATACTCACAGGTTACTTACTTTAAGAGGCTGTACACAGCTTTTGTTTGTTTTTTCCTTTCTTGTATAGTGTTATATAGATTTTTGTGCATATAAACGGTCTACTTCCATGACATAGTGAGATCACTATTTAACACTCGCACTTCTATTGGCTAGTGCTCCAACATTGTACGTGATTGATGGGACATTTCTAAGCAGTAGACCAATCACAACAGAGCTGGCCAGCTAACCAATCAGAGCAGACTGGGCTCTGGTTTCAGACAGAGGGTGAAAACAGGTGCTGCAGTATGAGAACAATAAAGCACTACATAGGCTACTTAATTTAACGTGATACTTAGTTCGTTTTGACATTCAGTGCAGTGGGTAGTGAATGTTAGGGAAGGAACTTTGTCATTGATGGTCAAAGTGTGCTGTTTGTGTGAGAGACATGAAGGCAAAAAAGAAAAACACAGACAGATGTTAACAAATAAAATGCAATAAAATCTATTTATGTGCAGCCAAGGATTGTCAGGATATTAAGAGTCCACCTGTTCTTAGGCATCAAGGTGAATCTATTTACCACGTGCCATATTCTGTTTCTGTTGAATGTGTGACCACAGATAATTAATGACAAACACTGTTTGCTTGTTTTCCTGTCTTTCAGTCTGCCTTTGGATGCGACTCAGATCTGGAAACAGCATCGCTGTGCAGTTTTAACAGAGATGACAACAAAATCCAAGAAGGTATTTGGGAATTACTTTTGTAACAGTTAAGTGTGAAACAGATTTAGGAGCATTACCAGCACACTTTGGACACATTCAAACATGAAATGAGATGAGATGAGATTTACTAATCCGAGGGAAACTGTTGTGCAGCAATTGCAGTTCGAAGTAGAAACCATCACCAATATAAAATATATAATATTTACTCAGTTTAAATAAAAAATGTGCACATTGTCATCAATTATAAACAGATTAACAGTTTGTATTGATGGTGATTCATTGGTCATGTTGAGGAAATTAACATCTCAAATTGGAATACATGAATGGAGCAGCACCAATCCTTAAACATTTAAAGGATTTGAACAAATTTATCTAACAGAGAAGCATATACAACTTGTGAACAAATGTGTTACAAATATGTTACAATAATCAATACTTGTTTGC